CCGGCCCCTTGAGCCGCTGAGCTGCCGTGTCCTCGAGCCGCCGAGCCGCCGTGTCCTCGAGCCGCCGTTCCGCCGAGCCGCCATGCTGCCGAGCCGCCGAGCCGCCGTGCCGCCATGTCCCCGAGCCGCCGAGCACCCGCGCCGTCGAGCCGCTGTGCCACCGAGCCGCCGTACCGCCGAGCCGTCGAGCTGCCGTGCCGCCGTGTCCCTGAGCCGCCGCGCCACTGAGCCACCAAGCCGCTGAGCCGCCGAGTCGCTGCGCCGCTGAGCCGCTGTGCCGCTGTCACACTGTGCGATGGCGGACGCCGTTCTTTGCTTGGACGCTGAGGGGCACGCGATCGACTTCGCCGCCTGGCTCGTCGACCTCTGCCGGCACCTGACAAGTCAGTTCCAGGATGGGCACTCCCTGGCTATGCATGTTGATGGTTTGCTTCCCTGCCCCCCTGCGCTTGATCCCCTCCCTGCTCACCCTACCACTACTAAGAGCGAGGCTTTTGCTGCTGCTGCGCTTGCTCGAGCTGTCTGGGATTCTCGCGACGCAATAGCCCAGCTTGCCATTAGCCATGCCCTCCCCCTGTCTGAGCGTCCGCGCTTTACCGCTCTCGCGAACGCCAAGGACTTTCTCGTTGCAGTAGTTGAGCGTTACTCCACACCTTCTTCCACCTGTGTTGGCTACTTGATCCTACCCATGCTCTTCCCTCGTCTTTATGCTTTCCCCATGGTAGCTGACCTCGCTACTCACCTCCGTGCACTAGAGACCAGCTACCGCGCTGCTAGCTCTGCCGCCCAGCTTACTGCCTCCCCCCCACCTTTCTACGCTACCCTGTACCCCATCGCCCTGCGCCTGCCTGACCGCTTAGCCACTGCACGCGACCACTTCCTTAGTCCGCACCTAGCCGACCTCACCCTGACCGCCTTTGTCACTACTCTGTCTGAGATAGAGACTTGCCAGCGCACTATCACTCAGTCGAGCGGTGTTGCGGCAGTCCCTATCTTTCAGGGCTGTGCCCCCTCCCAGTGCATGTATGCTGACGTCTCCGCCGCAGTTGCCATGACTGCACCTGAACTGAGATAGCAGCTGCGGCGTACCCGCAGCAGCGCCAGCGTCGGGGCCGCCGTGGCCCCAAGGGAGGACGTGGAGGTGGCGCTAGTGGTGGTGGTGGCGGGGATAGTGGTTCTGACGAGGGGGTTAGTGCTGGTGCCCAGGAGCAGCAGCAGTCACTGCAGTCGCAGTCGCCGCCACAGCAGTAGCCGTCACAGCAGCAGCCGCAGCAGCAGCAGCAGCAGCCGTGGGCTCGTCTCCTGCCCGGGTGGCCAGGAGCCTTTGGCGGTGGTAGTCGTGATGGTGGCCCTCGAAGCTCGGCGTCCACCAGCAGCTTCGGTGCTGTGAGCTGCCAGTTCCAGCTTCAGACCGGGCCCCTGCGTGGCACGGTGTGCCGCCGCCCGCACCCCACCGCCCGCTGTTTCCGCCGCCTCGACGACCTCATCCGTCGCCGCTTTGGTGCTACGTCGGACCTCCTTGACTGGCCCAGCCTGCTGCGCCACGGTGTGCCTGTGTTTATCTTAGACATGGATCAGATTAGTTCTGCCTTGCATTCTCTGTATGCTGACGCTTCGAGTGTTTCCGGATCGTATGTACTCTGTGTTCTCTAGCTTAGGCGTAGCACCTGTGTGTAGTCCAGACTCCCCTGCTGCATCAGGCGTAGGACAGCTTGCTTTGTCTAGCCTAGGCTCTACCCTTGCTCCTCCGTCGTCGGCCACTACAGCGTCGCTGTCCTTCACTCTAGACTTCGGTGCGTCAGCTTGTTCTTCCGCGACCACACCGCCCTCACGCCGCTTGCTGCGCCTGCCGCTGTTGCCCTTGCGGACCCCTCCTCTGGTCCTGTAGTTGATCGCAGCTACACTACCCTTCCCTGTCTGATGGTTCTCTCGGGTTCCCTTACAGGCCTGCACATCCCTTTGTTCTCCAGGAACTTAGTTGGTGTCGGATGTCTTTAGGACCTCGGCGTCACCACTACGTTCCCTGGTCACGAGTGGTACGCGGTCTGTTCCGAGGCCGCTTCAGGTGCCCCCCTTGCGACGTTTCCCCGGGACCCTGTGTCTGGCCTGTTTACGCTGGACACTGCTCCCCCTCCGGCGGGCGAGTCCTCCTCCGGTTCTGCATCCACCCATGTAGCTGCGGCCTGCTCGTGTCGGTCGCTCACTCATCCGTCATAGTTGTGGCACCATCGCCTAGCTCTGCTCCGGTTCTGTACGCTGACAACAGGGCCATGATCCTCATGTGTCAGGAGCCTCGACTTGCGGGCAGAGCGAAGCACATCCAGCTGCGGTACTTCCTCATGCGCGAGCTTCAGCAGCGTCGCCAGGCCCGCGTAGTACACTTGGCCTCGGGTGCCAACACAGCTGATATCTTTATTAAGGCGCTTCCGCCTAGAGATCTTCAGCGGCACTGCTTGCAGTTAGGTCTAGTCCCTGTTGACTCTCACTTGCTAGGCCCTTGATTGTGTACTCGTTTCTATTTATACCTTGCAGACTGGCCTTGTGGCTTTTCCTCCATTGGTTGGACTAGTAGTGCCGCCCTTGTTTGCTCTGTCTTGATTGTACTCTTGCTGACTGGTCTTCGGGCCCCTGACTCAGAGGTTGGACTAGTAGTGCCACCCTGAGCTGCGTGTTTTTTGCTCAGCACTACCCCTTACAGTATCTAGCCTAGAGGGTGTGTAAACTTATACATATATTGTTATGTAAAAGTTATAGGCTAGATAGGGTATGCTCTTAGTGGGTACAACCCAAACGCTATATCTCCCCTGTTCTCCCTTCTTCTATTCATTCTTTCTAGTCTTAACAGGATTTTCTCGTCCGCTGGTGCGATCGCACGTCAGAAGATGACAGCTGGGTGCCGCTCGTTGAGCTAGAATCACACCCGATTCTAACAGCGTATTATCAACGTCGGAATGTTTCCGATGCCCGCGGTCTCGTTTAGGGGGGGGGGGTAGTGTAAGGAATTTCCATTCTCTACTGAGTCGTACGCTAGCGCGTACACCCGAACTCCTCGACTCATCACGTTCGGCCTCATTTATCGGCCCAACCCTTTCCCGAGTCGCATCCGGCACTGTCGCCACATTGCCGAACCTACCCACGTTTCGAGGTTATCGCCCTAGCACGCCAACCCCTTTATTACCTCGTTGCCTTCATTGCAATAGCGACATTGGATTCTCACGTTATAGTACATTGACACTTCCTATATCATAACATATCGGTTGAGTTAAACATTCAGGGCGGTAACGTGCTATGCTTACCTGTTATTGGGGTTGCCTGAGTACACCCCTACTAGGGTTTGTTGGTGGGGTGGGTCTTGCTCAACACATGTAATTTTTTGAAAGCGTGTAACG